CACGTATGTCCTCTTCATTGCCAGGACTGGTGGCTTCTCCGCAGCCCTCAGTCATTCAGGGACCGCAGTGAGCTCTTCTCTTCTCTTCTCACTGACCCTCGCTGGGGCTCTTCACATCTCTACTCTTAAATCCTTAGTCCTGTTCTAGGCTTTGGTGGGCGAGCGCTTCCTTCAAGAGGTCTTGTGTTCGTCTGAACCGGTCCTGTCTCCCTCTGTCCCTTTGTCCTCAGTCTTGTCCCTGGCTGCCCCAGGACAGGGTGCTCAGCCAGCCCCGAGCCCCCGGCCCCTTTCGGTCCTTGATTCAGGCCCCCTGCTCAAGCTCTGCAGGGATTCCTTATCTCTCTCCAGCCCCACTCCCACCTCCTTCCCCCCAACCCCACACTGTGCAAGGTCTGTCTCTTCTCATCCTCCGTTCTTGTCTCCCAGTTCAGCCAACAGCCTCCTCAATGAGCCCCTCTGTCTCGCACCAGTACCTCCCACCAGCCACTGGCTCTCAATCCCTCCCATTTCCTTCACTGGCTTCTGGGTTTGGCATCTTCTCCCCCTTGCCAGCAGCCCCCCCGCTTCCCCTGGCCTTTACCTCAGGCTCCGAGTCCCAGCTCCCCATCCAGCTCCTCCGTTTGGCCCAGCCAGATGTACGGAGTCTCAGCAGGCACCTTGTCTTCATCTATTTCTCTCCTTCCCCCTGCTCTGGTTTGGCTTCCTCCTCCTCCTCCTCCTCCGCACTGACTTGGTTTCCACCTGGGGTATGTGAGAGCGCAAAAAGAAAAAGGCTCTGTGCTTTCAAGCCTGAAGCCCGGCCTCCCAGTTTGTCCCAGCACAGCCAGCTGCGGCGGTGGCGGGGATGGTCCCGGCCCATCTCTGCCAAGCTGAGCAGGACCACGGTCACCTGCAGGGCAGGGACAGCACGTATCCCCACGGCCCGGGGAAGTCCGTGCGTGCTCAGCTCAAGGATAATCACCTCAACCTATTAATCACTAAATAGGGTGACCTGAATGGTGATTTTTTTTTCCCCACGCCGGCGTTTAAGTTGTCCAAATGGGGCAGATGTTCACAAGAAGAGAGATCAGAAACTAAGGATTCCCCTCTCCTTGCAGAACATGAAGTTCCTTTTCCAAAATGCCCGGCCTTTAGGACAGTTTTGGAAGAGCTCAAGAGGGTGGTGGGTTTTCCCTTAGCTCGAGTGCTCGAAAGACGTGGGACTAGTTGATAGTAAAATAAAATAAAATACTTAAATAAAAAGACCAAGGCAGACACTTGATGTGGAACATTTCAGCCCTAACAAAGATTTGTAAAGTTAGAAGCAATTGAGAAAAAATCTTATTCTGGCAAGTGCTTAGCAAAAAGTCATACTAAGTGGTAGTTTTGTCCCTGACCATAAAAATATTCATGAGGCTGTAGACACACATACCCATATAAATACATGGCTGTGCAAAAAAAAAAAAAAAAGGGGAAAAAAAAAAGTAAAGAGTCTTTCCTCGACCTAACTAGATGTAAAGCTAAATTTTATCATGCTGGAGCTAAAAGATGCCGTTGGAAATGTCTCAGCAGAAGCGCTTTGTGGTCAGTTAGCCCAGAGAAAGGAGTGCAGATGAGCGGCGCCGAGATTTCATTGGGAACTGTCGCTTCCCGTTAAAGTGAAGATGAACCCATAGGTCAGACAAGCTCTGAAAAGTGTAAATGTGGAAGGCTTCACCCTGGAAAGCTCTTGTCTCAGAAGGGTCCGCAGCAGCTTTAGAAATCAGTGGTCAGAAGCGAACTTTGCCATCAGTTTCTTTCAGTAACAAATACATAAACAAAGCCCTACAGTTTTATTGAATCTGTGCTATATAATTTCACCTCGGGCATTCGGTCTTAATGACCATGGGACGTTGTATTTTTTTTTTTATTTTTCATGATGTAATTGTCATTTGACTTTCTGACAGCTTTTTCTTCCCCCCCTCCCCAATGAGTTACAGTCAATTAAACAAAGTTTCGCTATGGCAAAATTGATCCAGAAGAAGGTTATTTCCACCCGTTCGTTTGCTTTTCCACCTCTGAAATAGTTGTAAGTCAGACAAAAATGGGCCAAACAAAATATCTTCCACAGACTATTTTCTAAACCGGGGATTCACCAACTTTTTCTCTATTTTCTGCTTTGTTTTGTGTGATTTTGCTAAATCTGGCTTGGACTCTCCGGGCTTAGTACTTAGTAACTTTTATGCCATAAGTTATCATCTACAGAAACTTTGCTCTTGAAAGCTTTTTGAAATCCATGGAAGAGTTGAGACCTAATTTAAAACCTTCTTCAGACCCTGGTTTCTAGATGCCTTCAGCCTAGCAGATCTTTAATTTTAAGGAGGCTGAAGTTAGCTGTGCTTCACATGGGGCTTTCTGCCACCAACATATACGTTAATGCCGTTGCTTGAACGAGTCTTCCCGGTGGGAGTTAGGGGACTTCTCTACTCATAAAGCAACATATTTGCAAGATCGAGGTCCCATACGATATGTTGTCCGACATTTTGTGGGTCATTAAAGGCTTGATTCATCAAACAGGGCATTCAGCTGAGGTCCTTAAATTAGCCGTGTTGACGGCTCCTTCTCCAGTGAATGGAGAGCGTTGGGGACCTGTGAAGGCAATGCTACCCACCTCAGAGCCCCAGTGCCCTCTGGCAGTCCCCATCTGATTCCAACAGGAACACCAGGAGACGAGGTTCCCAGTGCAGGCGCCTTGGTTAAAATGCCTTCGGTTAGGTTGGGATGAATCCGGCCCTTTGTACATTTGTGTGCCGGTGCCAATACTGTAAATCCTCACTCAGTGAAGGACTTCACTTATGCAAGCAAATATTGCCATTGGGTTCGGCAAGTGAGGACAACTCGTACATTTAGTGCGCTTCAGAATGCAAATTGCATAGAAACATTCAAAAAGTTGAATAATGCCTATTATTCATTGTAGAAACGCCACCACCGCTCCGATGGAAACTGATAGGCAGTTTCTTTGCAAAATACACGGCTGGTTGCCTAATTATTAGGAGCTTTTAATTATAAAACACGCCCCTGTTTTACTGCTAGAGAACAGCTCAAATGGCAAATTGGACCAAATAGATTGTTTGTTCACCCTTCTCTTTGAAATCTGAAATGCGTGACGAAAAAAAAGGCAATGCCCTGATTATGTACTAAATTAGGTCCTGATTTAATGACAATACTCATGGTGGACAAGCGTAAGGGTGATGGGGTCTTTGCGTGAGATTTGGGGTTGAACCGGGCAAAAATGGCAAATAAATAAATGGCCTTTGGAAAAAAATATGCTATAAAATGAGAAAACAGCGAAATAATCTGGTCGCGCAGACACCTGGCGGGGTTTGCTATTGACACTAGCCGAGCCAGAATTTTCTCTTTGAATTTTGGCAAAGAGGTGGGTCCAGTTGTGCGTGCTTGACTTGGTGAACATGAACCTCTCTCTGTTCTACCGCCATTAATCTTGAGCTCTTTCCTTCCCGTTGGCTGACTCTCAATAGGAAGGAAGGACAGTGTTTCCACAAAATGTGGTAAGCGCATGAAGTTCCTCCAGTGGCGCAAACACAGGGTTGTCTTTCCTCCTGGGCAAGTGCAACTCCTTGGCTGAGGGCTTGGACTGCCAGGCGGGGATGGAGAAAGAGAAGAAGGGGAACTGTTGCCTCTTCTGCTTGAATATTAAAAATAAGCTGAAGGCTCTGGGACTTTGCACAGAGACTCATCCTCTCCTCTTCCTCCTCCTCCTCCTCCAAGGCTGGTGTTCACTGATTGCAAACTTGGGCTGTGGACAGATTTATTTCATATATAAGCGGGTGTATGATTGTGTTTTTGCTGAATGAGCCGGAGCTCGTGCTGCATTTGCTTTGCCGCGCGAGTTCTGGAGGAGCAGCTGGTGTGAGGTTGGCACTCAATTAAGGCAGATTACACCCGATCCGGACTCTGTCCTGCTCTGCAAAGACACTGAAGTGTTAGCAAAAAATTTGGCAAGGCAGAGCGACTTTGTACGAGATCGCGGGGCATTTGTTAATGTTGTTGGTCCACAGTTAACATTTGCTTAAATGGCAAGCCCTGGCTTGAGAGAACCTACTCACCAAAGTCCTCAGGAGAGGTGTGTGAAGGAGAGGATGGCACCTCTTTGAGCAACACAGTTGTTTCAGATAAGGGTACGTTCGGCACAGCAGCTGCTTTAAATGTTTAACTTAAATGTTGTAAGAGGACCAAAGGTAAGAGCCCGAGGGGGATTCATCCCAGCAAACGGTAGATGCCGAAGGTAGCCAACTACCTGGTTGTACCTGTTGTACCTGTCTACTGGTAGACCAGTCCCTCTTAATTCCTTCTAGAATTAACAGGGAGCTGAGTATTCCTCCAGAGCACGATGGTCGGAGGTGGAGCTGCCCTCCGAGAACCTCAGGCAGTTAGTCCTTTCCAGTTAGTGCTTACAGGTGTGGGGCTGGTTGGGGAAGGGTGTCAGATGCAGAGCAGCTGGAGCACATTTAGCCGGTCTGAAATACAGAAAGGGGGAGTCTTACCAGGCTGAGTGAGGGGATGCAGGGTCTGAGAGGTGAGGTCTTGGTTGTGGCTGTACATTGATGAGAAAATACTTGTTGGTGTCGGTGGGATTTGTTCAGGCAGTATGACTTTCACCCCTGGTCCTCTGGTCAGTGCAGCCCCGACTGTCCCAGCAGCAAAAAGAAAGTAAGTAACTATGAGAGCGGATGTCCTCCAGAGAGAAATTTATGTGTATGTGTGTGCAGTCCCACGTGTTAGTTACAGGACGAGCTTGAGAGAAGTGAGAGGTTGTTGACAAGAGATATTTTTCCAGTGTAAAGGATCTAGAGGAGAGCCCATCTGGAGTGGACAATTCCTGAGCTGAAGGATGTCTTGAGTTCCCAAAAGCTGCATTTTCCCCCCCATCCCCATTGGCTTGGGTTTAATAAACAATATCCCCTCTCTCCCAGGCCATGCCTTGGACTTGTGATGAACCCGTTGTGTTTCCTCCCTTTCAGATCACGCAGTTAAAGATCGAGAACAACCCTTTTGCGAAAGGTTTCCGCGGCAGTGATGACATGGAGCTCCACAGGATGTCCAGGATGCAGAGGTAACGCGTGCCTCCGTCGTGGGGACCCACTCAGCTCCCCCGCCCCAAATCTGCCTGGGGTTTGCTTTGCATGTCACTTGTGGCTTGAGCTAAGCCAGGACTTAGTGACAGTCCCTTCTCTGGCATCTGCCTGCGCATTCTACGTCAAGCTGTTGATATATCATCAGGACGTGGGGCCAAAATCCAGGACTTCCCACTGCGAGGCGAATGCCTTAACTGCTGGGTTACGGAGGCAGATTCTCACTTGTGGGTTGTCCTCTTGGCCGCAGGGACCTTGTGTTTCTTTCTGACTTGTCCCCATCCAGAACAACCTCTAGCTTTGTGCTAAACAGATGTCTCTGCGGCTGCTTGTGGGCTTAAACCTGGTTACAGCAACAAGGGACTTGGACTGGCTCTGAGAAGCTCCGGTCATTGGGCTACTGTGGAAGAGCTGTTGGGTATTCTTTATTCTCTCCAGGTGGCAGTGCTTTAAAGACAAAAAGCTCTCAGCCCTGTTCTGGGAGCAGGTTTGTTAAGGATGCTCCAGACGCCTCTGGAGGTCTCGGTGTGGAGACCTACCTTGTGCTGGTTTCTGGCTTTCAGAGGGTCTTTGGCAGGAGGGGAATGTTTGCCTGGTCGGTTCTGGATGTGCAGAGCAGGAGCATAGGCATGGTGGTTTCAGGTTGAAGAAGGAAGGTATTAGAAAATGTTGGGATCTCCGGGGCCAGGTGGCTGAAGAGGTCTTTTTGAATCTCAGTTTTGGATGTAAGTACTTAAGCTGAAAATCAAGCCTAAATCCTGTTTAAAAAAAATCCCGTTTCAAGTCCTTTTCTAAATGTCAAGTCCTGCCGGTAATTAACTTCATGCCTTTCACTTCACTTGGAACTTTGTCCGTGTGTCAAGTTGCTTCCTGGTGCAAATGTTTTGCAGGAACAGTGCCATACCCATGATTATACCTAAGACAGATGTAGGCGCTCAATATAGCATTTTCCATCCAGGAGGGCAGGAGCGGCTCAGATCCCATATTCTTTGGGACCAGCAGAGCTGGATCTTGGTGGAGGGCCGTAGGGACCTGCGTTGTCACCTTCTGCTGGGAGGGTTCTCTCCACCACCCTCCCGGGACCTGGCTGTAGGTGGTCAGTGCGGGCTGGAGCACAGACGCTGGTGCAGATGCAGAGGTCTCTTCTGGTTGCCATAGTTGGAGACCTGAGCCTGGCTCTCCGTAGCCACGCAAATCGCACCGGCAGGCAACAAATAACGCCTGTAATCCTGCAAAGGCTTAACCCTACTCAGATGGGCAAACGTCCTCCTGCGCGCAAACGTTTTCAGGCTCAGACCCAGAAAAGCCAATAAATATATATAAACAAATACATATTAAAAATATATAAATATATATATATATAACGCTCTTCTCAATCTAAATCATCTCTGTGGTCTTCTGAATGTGCCTTGTGTTCCCCGCCTGCCCTCCCTTTCCAACGACAGCACAGATCCTGGCATAATATGTCAATATTTATTTATTTATGGGTGCACTACCACTTGAAATAGCTTTTTTTTTTTTTACCCTCCCTCTCCTTCCCTCCTGTGCCAACCTCCCAACCTCTACTGGAACTTAAGTAACGATGTCCCCCGCATATTTTTTTTTTTTTTTCCTGCTAAACTACCCTTTCATTACGGTCGATGGAAAGATTTGAAGGTTTACATTCATCGTGGGGGTTTTTTTGGAGCGGGAGGGAGGAGGTAAAACAGGGAGGACTATTAGAAGGGCTTCGTGCCATACGAAGAGCATGGCATCTAGCCACGCGGAGCTTGTGCTAAAAATTGCTCGGCATTTTTATGCGGGCCCGCGGTCACGGTCGATGATACAGTGAACAGAAACACTCGGAATATATAAATACACCCGCTCAGGCCTGGCGGGATTGAAAGGGTTAAAATCCACAGCGTTGGCTTTACGGGATAGTTTCTGATGCTCGCTTCCTTAATGACTTATCCTCTGCACAGATAGCATAGAAATGGCTGTGTACCTTTACAAAGATGTCTTTTTTTTTTTTTTTTTTTTAAAGGGAGAGCAGGATAAGATTATTATAGTAAAACAAAGGCCCATTCAAGGTTGAAAATTAGACAACTATGCGTCCACCTTTGTGGTTTTTTATATATATCTGAATATATACAAATTATATATATAAAAATATATGAGAACATATATAAAATAAATCAAATATGTATATATAAGATAAAGAACCATTCAGGATTGAGTGTCTTAGAGAAGTATGACCTACCTGTGTGGGTTTATATAGGTTTCATATAAAAATATATATTAAAATATAATTAAATACGTTAAAAAAATTATTTTAATATAGGAATATATGTGTGTGTGCGTAGAGGTAGTGGAGTTGTTTCCCAGTGATGGACCCACTCCCCAGCTGGCAGGTCTAGGTATATCTACCTTGGCTTCAGTGGAGTGATGTCTGGTTATGCCCTCAGAGAGTACGGTGGGATGTATTTTTAGTGCTGTTTCTTCATTATAGAAAAAAAGTAGCTTAGAAAAAAAAAAAAGCTTTTTTTTTTTTTTTTTTAAAGCGGCGCACAGCCTTTTGTACCGGAAACCGGTGACCTGACATTCATCAGGTCACTGATCATCTCGTTAAGGGGTATAGCTGTGGAGGGAATGAATTTTTCATGCTGAGGAAAGCTTCGGCACCTCTGTGTATTCTTTATTTAAATCTCAAACGTTTCTTAATTCCCCGCCACTGAGTTATGGCGGAGGAGCATCTCCCAGCTGAGAGCAGCCCTGAGAGAAGCAAACCCCAGCAGAGGAGGTTGGGAGGCAGCGCTGACCCATCCCAGTGCGTGAACCTGCCTTGTGGCACCCCGTTTTTGGGGAAAGCTGGCCCCAGCTATGGCCAAAGTGTGTCCTGCTGCTCACCCCTTACGCTCGCCCGCCTCGGAGCAGCCTTGGAGCTCTGAGCCTTGCTCAAGACCTAAACCTCCAGGTCCTACCATGTTGTGCCGGGCTTGGATCAGAGGGGAGTAGGTGTTGGGGGGGGGTTGAAGATGCCGTCTAGAAGCAGCGTCCCCAGGCTGGGCTGGTGCCTTGGGTCCCTCTGCGCAAAGCAGAGTGTGATGGGCACGTTCAGAGAGCAAAGCTCTCCTTTGAGAGCTCTCCCCATGGATGGCAGGGTGGGTGAGGAGCCCTCCCTCTGCCTGTTTCACCTGAGGGGTCTGGATGGTTTGCGTAGAACAGATGTCTGCCTTCTAAATAGCTAAAATGACATGAGATAAAGTCCATCCCCATAGAAAAAATTGCCACCTGGCCAGCTCTGGTGGTGTCCTTGCACCTTTGGCTGTCAGAGGATGGGAGGGAGACCAGTTTACTGGGTCCAAAATTGTCTCATGCATTTCGGAGCAGGTCTTGCAGTGGGGTGAAGGTGCTGGTGGAGACTCGGCCTGATGATTCGTCCGTTGAACACCTACCCCTGGCATAATGGTAGGGGCTGAGAGGAAGGAAGATGAAGCAGGGAAGAAAGACAACATCCAGCTCCAAGAGTGAGCTCAGAGAGAGGTCTCGGGTGCCTCATTGAGGACTTTGCTTCTATCTCTGGGTGCCTCCACATGCTCTGGCCAAGCAAGAGCAGTAATGCGTTGGCCTCTGGGGACAGGAGCTCTGCAGGGTGGACAGGGGTGTCTTTGTAAGCCCAGCCCTCTCCTTTGCAAGGCCTCCGTCTTGGTTTTTCTCCTCTGGTTTCCCAGAAGAAAAGTTGATAAGTTTGTCTAGGTAGAAAACTTCATTCAGTGGTGATATTAAGCCTTTCAGCAGCAGGTGATTTCATTCAAAGAGAATAGCCACAAGCTCCAGATAGATCCAAATTCCAGTGAACACAAACTTCTCGTACATGTTCATATCCCCCCACCATGCCCTTTTTTTCCTGAGACACACGGGACCCTGTTAGCAATTTCTTTGACAGGATGAGTACTCTGGGAAGATAGGGTTTTTTTTCAAGTTTTCAGGTTTCTGAGCATGAGACCAACTTTGTTACTGATTTAAAAAAAAAAACACAAAACCAACCAAACCACAAGAAAAAAGAAAACAGGCTAGAGGAAAATATGTCGAGGGATGTGAGTTATACTGCATCTGTATCCTGTGGTCATGCTCCAGTTGAAAAACATAAATCGGGTAAAGATTATGTAGTTGTGATGCTGGGAATTTTAGGCAAAGTATTCCTTTCAGATCTCTTGCCCCGCTGTACTGTAAAAATTCCTTTTGTCTCCGCTTAGAAACTTCTGCCTGTGCCAAGGGGAATTTGGTGTGGAGAGCAAGAGCAAAACACGCAGCAGAAATCCGCAGAGGGTGAAGCTTATGCAGAGAGACGATGAGATCTGCATTGCAGCTGCCAGTGTAGGACTCTGCCCTTAAAATTCCCCCTGCACGGGAGTCAGCGGAGCTGTGTTAATAAACCATGGCTATTGGGTGATTCGGGGGGTTGCATGCGAGCCGTAGCTTTTATATTTTTTTAATCTGGGGCTGCCAAAAGACAGCAGGGGAGAAGTGTTTGTGGGTCTGGGGCTAGAGCACTGTAAAAGAGCAATTCTGTTAAACCCTTTAACCAATTTTTGCTGATCGTCTGCAACTCCCATTGTCTTCGGCGGTTATTATGGGTGCTGAAGAGCTTCTGGAAGTCTCAGGCCCTAGTTACTGTTCATTCAAATTAATGCAATTAGTCCTTGAAGCTTCTTATTGGGAAAGCTTTTGAGAGGAAAGATGATTACGTGAAAGGGTGGCACTTAGTTCCCTTGATGAGTATCCTGGGCCCTTTCAAAGCGAGTCAAAGATCTAGAATGATCTACTCGACAAAGAAAAGGGTGGCAGTGTAGTTCGACGTTATGTATGTGTTTTCTCTGTCAAAGATCGTAAGCCATAGTTTGCTGCCTTTGGCGTTAATCCACAGTAATCTTCCTGGCTCCAAAGGAATTATTCCAAAGATTTCCTGGTGTAACTGAGAGCAGAAACTGGGCCAGACACA